CCCCCCCCCCCATTCTACTTCCCCATCTCCTCTTCCCCACCACAGCCCTCCAACAATGCACCACAAATCTGCCCGAGGGGAGTCCTAGGGAGAGTGCACGGGCTACAGTGGGGAAAAGCTAGCTGTGCACCAGCACTTCCTTCCTCCTGGAAATGCCATCACGGGAGACAACCCAAAATGTCTTCATTCCAAGATGAGTTCCAAAATGCCACGGCCAAGAATAATGCCCCTGTAGTCAATATTTCATTTCACTGTTACAACCAAGCTGGTGTCGTAGTTTCAGTCTGCATACCACAGCATCTAAAGGCCTCAGTGTTCCTGTCTCCAAAATCTTAAAGCTCTGTGGAGGAACCAGCTCGAATTCAAACCTCTGCAGAAATTTGGCCATCACTACTTTAGCCTCCATCTGGAATGAAACCAAAAATGGAACAGTGAGTTGACTGTCTTTCCTCCTTTCAGTTGCATTTTTCAGCCTGTTCTGATTCCAAGGAGCTAAGTAGGGCCTCCAGGATTCTCTCACCTCACTGATCCTCCAAACAACACTGTGAGGAAGGTTAGATTGGAAAACGTGACTGACTCAAGCTCAAGGAGCTTCATGGCTGAGTGCAGAGATGAGCTTGGGACTCCTCAGCAATATTCCAGCACTTGAATAACCACAGCATGTTAGACCTCTGTTGCAATTTCCAAAGTATGAGCAGTTCTGTCTATATATAGATCCTCCTGAAAGCTATTAGCATTTTCTGCATTCTCTTCCATTAATTCATTAAGCCAGTTCTACCAATCCCTGAACCCAGTTTCCTCTGATTCCTGCATCTAGTTGAAACAAAATGACCGTTTTCAGTGGCAAAATGATGGATGCAAGAATGCAGTCTTTTTTTTTACTCTGGTATTTTAAATGACAAGCACCAGCTCTGGAGGAGACTAGCAGCCTTAACAGTGATTACCTTACTTACCATACATACCTGTGAAAATACTTGCCCTATACAGGAACGAGATCCCAGGGAAAATGGGAAATAGGAAAAATAGGGCCTAAAAAGCAAAGACAAATAAGGATCCCTTAGAGAGGGCTCTTATGCATCTGTCTACCCCATGGGCTTCCCATGACCATTGTGTAAACAAAATGACAGACTGCATAGGGCTTTAGTCTGATCTACAACTACTCTTCTAGACCTTTGGTTTAACAAAACACACCTTCACTTCAAGATGTGCCTTATTTGCATTTTCTGTACAATGGGGATAATACTTACCTTTCAAATTCTCCAGGAAAGTATGGGATAGGTGTTAAGTGTTGCCAACCTTTTCCTCTAGTTCCTGGGTCTTTCATAGTAATTTGATCTCCAAGTATTAGAAAATAGAGATACTTATCTCCATGCTGTAAATAGCTCCATCTGTAAAATTTCTGCAGTCCAATCTGTTGTTAGAAATCGGAGCAGGCCACATTTCCCTGGCTGTGCTAGAAAACTTAACAATAAGCCTCCTAAATCCTGAAATATTAGCAGGTGGTGTTAAATTTCTGACAATTGCTGTGACTTCACAAAAACAAAAGAAGCTCACCTTGGTTGGTCTTTCCTGAATCGGTCAGGATTGAAGACCTCTGGATCCTTGAAATACCTTTCCATGTGTCCCATGAGATAAGTATTGAACTGCCAGAGGAAAGGAGATGTTTATGGATGTACACAAAAGGCAACAGGTAGGAGGACTGGTCACTCAGAGTAAGAAGCTGATGAAAGAAGCTGGAACCAGACGGCTTGCACTGTATTCAAAGGCACGTAGCCTTCTTCCCTCTTATTTCCGGCATGTCATCTCTGTGGTCAAGAACAGTCCTCTAGACAAACGTGGCGTGAGATACAGGGCACTGGAAACTGCCTTGCATTGGATGCATGTAACCTCCATCGTTTCAGGTTTACATGGATCAAGACGGATGGCACAAGATTGCATTCTGTGAGGAAATACTGACAACTCTGCTGGGGTCTGAATGCACCACTGCCATTCTGTTCCAGTATTCAGAAATATATCTCCTGAGTAGAACCATGGGGACATTGCCCTAGCTACATTTTTAAAAATCCACCAAAAGAAGTCTAAGGCAAAAACCAACATGGAAAGCTTTCAATGGTCCAGTAGAAAAAATCTTGCCTGCTGACTTCTGCCTGATATGATACTGTCAAAGGTGAAACTAGCTGCACAAATTTACTTGCCAGTGCACAATGCACACAGAACTGGGTTGTGGCCACATGCAACCTGGCTGCTTCAGCTTAGCAAGAAACTAGGGGAAGAGGTTGCCACAAGGAAGGGGCTGCTCTGGGTGATGAATAAAATCAGAAAGTGCAAGCAAGGCAGGCCTAGGGCTTTCTGATTCCTAACGCTGCTCCAGAAACAGAATTCAATCCAAATCCCTGGTTGTGTTCCTTCTTGGAATTATCAGACCTGGCCACAGCAGTCCATTGCTTAGTGATAGCCAAGCTAGACCACTGTGAAGTTCTCTGCATAGGGCTGCTCTTGAAGACCTGAGATCTCAAACACTGCTGCCAGACCAGTCATGGAGACCAGTGCAACAGGCCATGTTATGACAGATCTACGCAAACTTCACTGGCTGCCAATCCATTTGGGGGCTCAATTCAAGGTGTTGGCATCATGCCATAGTAGAAAGCAGTTGTATCATCCCAGCAGACTGTCCTGGGGCCATCGGATTCTTTGGCATCCCTCTTCTGAGGCTGCAGACACTGCTGTGAGCTCAGAAGGGGGATGTGCCCAGAAGCCCATCTAGAGAAAAAAACAGCAACATGCACAGCAGAAAGGTGCAAATCACCTCTCTTGCTCCCGCTGACAGCGGTTTGGCAGGGCACTGGATCCTTGGGGGTTGCAGGCTTCTGCCTGAGGAAGGGCACATCTCATAGGACTGTGCCCTTATTGTTAAGCTAATGGAGAAAAACTCTGCGGAAATCTGCAACCTGTATAAATTACAGAATTAAGCCAATGTGCTTGTTCTCCCATATTTTACACAGCTTACTGTTCACCTGCTCACCTATTTTGCGTTAGCTAGTCAGGGAGAGGAACTTGTCTGTGAACATTTTCCTTATCTATGCATAATTTATTCTACCATTGTTACTATATGTGTGTCCCCCGCACCAGCCCCCACAAAAAGGACTGAAAGCTCAGGAAGCTGAATTCAGTAGCCCCTTGTACAGCAGATACCCTGCCCCCCCNCCCCCCCATATGGGCTTGGTGTGGGATGCCAGTGTGTTTTGGTATTTGCAGTAGACTACACATCAGACTCACAATTATGGTGGAGTTTGCTGGAATGTAGACGCCTTCAATGACGTTTTCTTTTCCAGTCCAGCGCACTGTGCCAGGAACTGGTGGATACAATCGTAAGATTTCTTTGAGAACCTAAGGCAGGGAAGACAGGTTTGGTACAATGCAGACTGGACAGTCTGCCGCTATCCTCAATGACTGGTATGAATGGCAGATGGAAGAGTGAGAGTTCCACCTAGAATACTTTCACTAAAATGGTCCACTCATTCATGAATTTACTGGGGACAAATTTCATCCTCAAACTTATTCTTAATTTCCGCAGGTGCAGCTATACAGGAACAAGAGAAGGAAATCTACAGCTGTACTAACAAGCCATGGCTTGTTAACCAGAAACAATGCATGAAGAGATTCCATGGTTTCTTGTTCAGTTAGAGGTCCATCGTGCTGGACTGGTTAGCACAGAAATATTGCAAACCATCCCCAGAGCACAGAAATTAAATAAATAATACAAAGCCACAGTTTGCAGTTCCTAGGGCCAGTCCTATCATTAGACAGACTGAAGTGGATGCCTAAGGTAGAAGATGCTGAAGGGAAGAGAGTGCTGGTGAGGTGCTGGGGCAGACGCAATTTGCGAGAGCCATGCAACCTGCCTTCTACCATCTAAGCTACCTCAGATGCAACTTCCCATGCAGAATCCCTAAGTGAGATTCCAGTGTCTTCGGTTAGCCCCAAATGTTACAAGAAGTTGCCCAACCTTCCTCCTTCCCTTCAGTCTCTTAAATTCTATCTCATCCTCTGGCACTGCTGGGAGTAAAAATCACATCCATTTTTTATTAATTGCAACGTGTCCTTTTTCCAAACCTGGAAAAAACGTTAATCTTAGGTACAGTGCTGGAAACAAGCCGTCTTCAAACCATAGGTAACAATTAGGGTTTGTTTAACACACAAAGCTAAGATTAACCAAGCAGAGGCTTCGGACCTCCTCCATGTGCTGTGCTGGAGAAAGAAACAGGAGAGGAGGAGCACACAGGGCTCTGGGAAAGCTAGACTAATTCTTGCAGTTTCGACTTGCCTCCAATGTAGCCATTACATTCAGATGGGCCTCCTCCTAGGTAACAGTTCATAGGGATGCTGCCATAGTGATCCACTTAAAGTTGGAAGGACCTTCCAAGCAACCAATAGCATGAACCTCATCTATATATTAGTTTTATATTATTGTCCCCCCAAGATTTAATTCAACAATAGGCCACAGTTATTTCCCACATAATGGATTCAGAATGGGCAGTAAGTTCTACTAGCACTTTCCAAAATAAAATAAGAAGTAGAGAGGAAATTGCCAAGATTCTATGAGCCCAGGGATGAAGAATTGTGCCACTTATCACCAGTAACATCACAGGGAGTGCTCAGGAGGTACCCACGACTCCCACACAACCACAAAGAAAAAACAGGCCTTCTGTGTAGGGCAATGCCTTGTCTTTTCCCCAAAATCAAAATCTTATTCTCCAAAATGCAAGAACAGAAGCACAAGCTAATGGGAAGACTGGGCACACAGAACTGAGTAACAAAGACATTCATTGCATCACAATCAAACAGAAGATTGCATAGTCATGAGCCTGTGGATTTTGTAATTTGGAACAGTGGCAAAGCTGTGTGTATGGACTGGCTGAGCTACTGTATTGTCACAGAGGGAGGGATGACACAGAATTAGAGTATGTTGCACATGCAATGTTTTGCACTATGAAACTTATAGTGCAAAGAGCCTTAGTGACAGAGCATCTGTTTTGCACACAGATGGTCCCAGGTAGGTCTTTGGCACTTCCAGGTGGGTTTAGGAAACAATCCTGCCTGAAACTATGGAGAGATTATTAGCCTAGATGGACCAACTGCTGGGCTCAACATATGTCAGCTTCCAAGGTTCCAAGCTGCTAAGATTCTGTGGTACAATTCAAAATCCTTCTCATGTTTCATAGAAAGAACACCCCATGATGTCCTCCTCCTAGCACTTGTATTGCAGCTAAAGAATTCTGAGACATTCATCAGGTCTGAGCAGAGGCCGAGTGAGGGTTATGACTGAACTCTGGGTTGTTGCTAAAACATGGGCTGTCATATTGTTTGAACCCAGCTATGCTAACAAGCCGTGGTTTGTTAACCAGAGGAAATGCATGAAGAGGATCCATTGGTTTCCTGTTGGGTTGTAAACTGTAGGTTCTTCAGCATTGTTTGCAATCCCAGCTGGATCTGGACAACAGTAACTCTCATTTCAACAACAACCCATGGTTCAGCAACAAGTTACACTCAGGCCATACTCAACCCACGTGTGGGTATTCATGTTGTCTGTACCCAGTCATTCTTCACTTTAACTGATACCAGATCTCATATTTCAAGCTTTGTGTGGGAAATGAATGTATTGCTTTGCCCAGCTATGCAAAGGTACCTTTGGCATCATTACTCAAGTTTACCTGTGATAAGTATTCAAGCTTCCCAAGATCTTCATAGGTAATGTCTCTCTTCACGCCAATGACCTCATCCACTTCAGCTTGAAGTCTAAGAAGCAATGATAGGAGAAACTTTGTTTGATCAAATGCCCACTAATCATTTATACTAAATGGAAAATGTCTGTATTGGAAAAGACCAAGATTTACCTTCCTAGGACTAAGTGCCACAGGAGCACACTCACACTCATGTATTTATTTATTATATTTATATCCCACCTTTCTCCCATCATGGGACTCAAGGTAACTACATGTGGTTTCCAGGTGGTCTCCCCTCCAAGCTCAGGCCAGCCCCAGATCTGCTTAGCTTCAACATGGTGGATGCCTTGTCTGCCTTCAGACCCTACTTGACAATTCAACCAGTTTGGGGAGAAGGAATAGCTACTTCCAAACGTATTCAGCCCCCAGGAATGCTTAGGGCGAAGAGAAAATACCGGATCTTGGTCATGGTTCTAAACATACATTATCCTCTCTCCAGTGCCGAGCTCTAGAAATCTATAACCTGCAACAAAGGTGACAAAATTGCCCAGGAGATCTTCCTTGTTGTGGTCCTTGTCAGGAATCGAACCCCACACACGGCCGTGCCAGCAGCATCCGTCTCCCGCAGCCAGGTGCAAGGGACTCATCAGGAAGGGAGTCCTGTGTGGCTGCTAGCTACTGTGCCATGTGGGGCTGCCAATTTGAATGGCTGCAGCTGACAAAGAAGGTTGGTCACAAGGGGCTCAGCAAGAAAGGAGCCCCATGCAACTGCTGAGCAAGCAGCATCCTTCCCCTGCACTCCTGCAGACACTGGGAAGCTGCACCTGAGAACTACGTCAGCTGTGCAGCCTCTGCTCTGCAAGCGTTTGCAAACTCACTTGGCTCAGTTTGCCAAGCAGAAGAGGAAGTCTGTGAAGCTGGAGGGACAGATTCTGATAGGATGTGCCCCAACTCTAGTACTGATCAGGAGTTCATGGCCTGATATATAACTACCATATTTTTCCATGTATAAGACAATACTTTTTCTTTAAAATATTTACCTAAAAATGGAGGGGCATCTTATACACGGGGGGCTGAGAGGAGCTGGGGGGAGGTGGGCGTGGGCGTGCTTGGGCGGGGAGGCAGGCGCAATCGGGGGAGAGGTGGGCGTGAGGGAGGCTGGTGCGGGCATGATCAGGGGGAGGTTGGTGCGGGTGCACGTGTGGGGGGAGGCGGGGAGGCAGCGTGCATGCGCGTGTGGCAGCAACTTTCTCACTCAGAGATCAGTACAAAAAGTGGGGGCATCCTATACATGGGGGTGTCTTACAGTCGGAAAAATACAGTAATAATTTTAATTCTTAAATAATTATAATTATACTTGTTCATATAATTATTAAGTATAATTATATTTATTTATTAAGATATTTGTATGCCGTCCTTTGCAAGAGCCTCAGAATGGCTTACACAAGTAAAATACAAATACCTAACATAACATAAATAAATTAACAACTCACTCTGGTTGCAATTAAAATATGGTGATAACATTCAATATTAAAACTTATTAAAATATTGATTAAATACAAAGGTCTTAACCTGGCACCGAAAAACATATAATGACGGTGCCAGGCGGACCTCTCTGGGGAGAGTATTCCATAGACGGGGTGCCACCGCAGAGAAGGCCCTCCGCCGGGTACTCTGTCTCCTAACATCTTTCACAGAGGGCTCCCAGAGGAGGGCTTCTGCTGCCCATCTCAGGGGGCGGGAGGGCAAATAGGGAAGGAGGCGTTCCGTCTTCCCCATAATATAATCAATATATTAATATAATACAATTATATTATAATTAATGTATAAATTTATATTAATTTGGGGTATGTCCTGTTAGAGAGAGGGGGGACAAGAAGAAAGAGCGGGGGAGATATGAGAATGAGAAAGGTGCAGAGGGCAGCAATGCAAATAACAACAACACCACCACCACCAGCACTACCATCACCACCACCACCAACATATCTGTTATGCAAATTGTGGAGCCAAGCGTAGATCAAAAGGGAGGAATCCATTCTGACTTTCACTTATTATTTATTATTTATTATTATTTATTTAGGAAGCTTCTATGCCGCCCCATTCGCCGAAGCCTCGGGGCGGCTCACATCAATAAATAAATAATCACAATATAAAAACAATATAATTTGAGTCGACCTGGCCAAGGATATAAAATAAATAAATAATATTAACAATTAAAATGACGTTTAAATAAAAAGGTCTTCACCTGGCGCCGAAAAACAAGTAACAACGGCGCCAGGTGGACTTATGTTAGGATACATTTCTGCCATTCTGTTTCGTATGCTAAATATGGTTTGCCAGCTATGGCAACAGGAGTTTTTCTCCATCTGCTAAAAAGTACAGTCTCAAATAAGAGAAGAGTAAGACAATGCAGTTATCTACTTTGTGATGATGTCAGGGTGGCGAGTCAGCTCCATCACAGTAAAAGATAACTGATTGGCTGTGGTTTCATGACCTATAAGGCAGAAAGTCCAGTTAAGTGATGGAGAATGAATCACACCAGAAAGTAATTTGTGAAGACGTGTTTTTCATACTGCTCACTGCCCTCCTCTGAGCCTGTTCCAGCAGCTGATCTAAAAAACTTAAAGCACTGGAGCATTGATCAAAGTTTGGAGGACCACGGATGTTATTACTGCACTGACATCCTGCCTCTTTTCCCCTTGCAAGCAACCTAAAATGGCTTCCATAGTCTCTCCATTTTGTCTTCACAACAATCCCGTGAGGTAGGTTAGGCTGAGAGGCAGTGACTTGCCCAAAGTCACCCAGTGAGCTTCATGGCCAAGCGAGGGCTAGAACCCAGATCTCTTGAGCTCCAGCCCAACACTCTCACCACTACACCACCCTGGCTCAGTGTGTCATGGGAATAATAATGGATTTGGCAGTGGAAGGCATTCCTCTTCAGTCCTGTTTGCACCGAACCATGATATGCTGCTCATAAGCATGCCGGGCTATTACCGTAACATGCACAAAGAATTTATAATCGAATAGCAGATTTGATCCAATGTATGAATGCTTTGATACCTGAGGTCACTAAATGCATTTTCTTCTATCTTAACCTTGATTTCCCTTTATGTGCCAGAACTTTTCATATTGACCATGATCCAGCTCTACTAATGCACAGTAACGAGTAGCACTGGATGACGTTTCTCAACCATGCCAGAATGTGAATGTTGCCAGTTCAATGCCTGATGGGGATGCAGATCTCAAAGCAATGTGCAGCCACACTGGGGTGCCATCCAGCTGAGCTGTCTGTAAGCCACCAGACATAGAGGTATTCGGGCATCCAATGCAAGGTGGGAGGGGTAGTGGGTGCAATTCTTGCTCCCATGTGCTTCCTTCCATCTAACTGCAGCATCTTAGAGAGGGAGGGAGGGAGGGGAGGGCAAGCAGCTGTACATATCCTGGCTGCCCCAGTCTCACCCCCCACCCCACACACACACAACCTCTCTCCCTGAGTCTGCTTTTCCCACTGCAGAGAATAGCCAGTGCAGTTCTTTCCACATTGGCTGCAAGTGGCAGAAGGCAGAGCCCCAATTCCCACCTCTGAGGCTGGAGATCAGCTTCCAATTTTGGAGCTGGGAATTCAAAAAATCCCATGGCCCCTCAGCCAATGTCTAGGGGCTAAATGTTCAATCCCTTAGAAGCCTATTGCTGCTTGCAGATCTTCCCTGATGAATTAGAATGACTGTGCATTAAAAGGAAACATCTGCCAACCTGCTACAAAGAAGGTGACAAAATTGTCCAGCATATTTTCATCATCACAATCCTTTTCTTGAGCTGTCAAAGACAGGGAATAAAGAGCAAAGTTGGCATCACTTTCTTAAGAAATATGAAAGGAAATTCTGGGACATTCAAAAACAACAAACAACACTCGAGAAAGGATCTTGCTAGTCAAGCAAATGCTAGAAGAACAAAAGGGGAAGAGAAACTGTTGAAATGCGGAAGGAACCACCCTAATTATTACTGCATTTCATAGAATCATAGATAGTAGAATTGGAAGGGGCCATGAAGGCCATCGAGTCCAACCCCCTGCTGTTGCAGGACACCAGTTTACACCATCCATGCAGATGGCTGTCCAGTTTCACCTTGAATGTCTCTAGTGTGGGAGAGCCCGCCACCTCTCTAGGCACCCGATTCACTGTTGTATTGCTCTGACAGTGAGGAAACTTTTCCTGATATCTAGCCTGAATCTGGGTTGTCACAGCTTGAATTGATTATTCCGTGTCCTATGCTTTGTCATCAGCAAGAAGAGATCTTGACTTTCCTCTTTGTGACAGGTTTTGAGGTGCTTATAAAGGGATATCATGCCCCCCACCCCCAGCCTTCTCTTCTCAAGGCTGAACATGCCCAGTTCTCTCAGCCTCTCCTCACAGGGCAGTGTTTCCAAACCCTGGATCATTTTTGATGCCCTCCTCTGATCCTTCCTAAGTTTTCTGCCTCTTGCTTAAATCTTGGTGCCCAGAACTGGACACAGTACTCCAGGTGAGGTGTGACTAGTGAGGAGTATAGAGGAACTACTATTTCTTTCAGCTTAAGCAGAAGCAGCTGCAACAAAAGAAATTGCTTTGGTGTTTTCAGTATTTTTTTTCAAAATTAATTATTTGACAAAGATATTGGGCCTTGTGATAGTGCATATCGGATTGGATCTTGCATATGTCATATTTAGACTAAATTGAAATCATATTAGTTGTGAGTAATGTGAGTCCCATTGACTTCAATGGGCTTGTTCAAAGTATAACTGAATCTGGTTCCAAATCTGGTCCATAACTTGGCTCACTTCCTTGAGTAATGTCCTATATAATGGTAGGTTTTGAGTAGTCAGCTACAGATCAGTAGGTTGTGGCTCAAGATCAAACCATTTTGCAAGGTTTTCCAGTTCTCTGCTGTAGATTTACTAATTGTTCCTCAACCAAGAAACTTTCATCTGTAGTTTTATTCCTCTGTACAGTCACTAAATTGCTGGTCTGGACATTTGGCAGTACCAAAATTGTAGGAGTCACATGGAGTCAATAAAGACTCCCTCCATCCCTTTTTAAACCA